ATTGCAGTAACCAACTGTACCTAGAGTCGAAGCAAGACTACAAAGATTAAGTAAGTAACTACAAGTTAGAGATAGATATAACGAAGTACTCACTCTTCAGTCAGTAAGGAAAGACTGAAGAGGGAGGACGCAATCTGAAGTCCTTATATACTACAGAGAAGTGTCCATGACTAATCGAAGAGTGGTTAGTCACATGTACCATAGTGCGATGAATAATACAATGACAAAAGAATTGCGACATATCGCACCATAGGATGAGTAAGAGATGAGTAAGGCATAGACCTGTCTAGACCGTTCTGGAGTAGTACAGATTGTCCTAGACAGTACCAGAAGAGTCCGGAAGCATAGCTATAGTACACGAGCAGAGAGTCCCAAATATGGTAACATACTACATAAGCGACTACAGCTAAGCGCTAGGAGACGCATAGCCTCGTGTAGTCCGGACCGGATAAGTCCAAGTTCAACAACGTTCAAGATGCTCCGCGTCGTCATTGAAGAGAAGTGGCGTAACGCACAGGTTCCCGTAGAAAAGGATAGACAAGTCGTGGTCAATACACTTGGCAATCTAGCCCATATTGGGTCGTTCCACTGTTCGTCCCGTGTTCTCCATCCCAAAAGCTCTTGTGTTGATTTTGTACTAGCTTTTATAGGGAGCGTTGCCATGGGAGCATGCATCGCCCAGTCATCGTCCATGGCCATGCCGGCGCGGGAATTCGTCAACATGACCCGCGAATGCTCGCTTAGTCTCCTTGTCCTTTATGCGACGTTCCTTTCTGATCTCATACGTGTCGCCCGAGTCGATTCCACAGTTGCAGACGCACTCAAAGGCCTGAACCAAATTGTGCATACCGGTGTGGCCCTCAACAAGCAAGACGAAGAGTGGGCTTACCAGAACGACCTGAAGATCATGGTAAGTGTCATTAGGGGATTCCTGCATTTGCGATGCCTGATATGTCTGTCAGACTTCCTATGGTACTACGGAAACTGGTATAGACTTATCTATACATTTCCATACTATGGAATCCGAATCGACTGATGGGACCTTGCCAATTTAGGTCCTATGATGTGCTCTCGCCTCGGTACAGACCCACTTTCGCGTTTATTACGACCTTTCCCAGGCGCGAATCCTCTGTTTATCCCATATAAGAGCATGGACGATGATGCAGAGGGTGTGTGACTGTACGAGATGGTCGTCTCAAGCGACGCCGACGACTGTCCGCCTCCGCAGCTCTGCTCAGAGGATGGCTACTATCATTCTAACGACCTATTTGAGCCACTGGAGGACGGTTGGATTTATAGAGGGCGTGCTGGTGATTGGATCAAAACTCTTGGTGGGTTTTGCGATACGAAGTGAGTCTCGCTTTGTCACGTGTGGAAATCACTCGCCCTAAGGCCACCATCATAGGAGCATTGAGGACAACGTGCGGAAGACTTGCGCAGACATCATTCACGATGCTGTGGTAGTCGGGACGGGACGGCTTCATGTGTGCCTCGTCGTCGAGAGCGCAGTGAACGGACTGAATGATGAAGAGAAGCTGGCGCTCTCGCGGACCATTATAGATCGGACCGCTGAGTTCAACACACGCCTCTTCAAACATGAGCGCGTTCAAGATCCCAAACTTGTTCTCGTTGTTGACAAGGGAGCACTTCCGCGGACAAAGGTAGGCATGCTTCCTACTCGCTTTACTTCTCCGTGCTGATGCAAAGATCGGGTGCAGGAGAAAGGAAATGTACAGTGCGTGACTAAGTCATTTGGGCCTCGTTGAGTGAAACTCACTAACTCACCTTGAACAAGACGATCTGCCGTGGAGAGAATGTTCCTGGAACAGCTCGACCTCATTGCAGGCACTCTATAGCAGTGACCCGAATGCAGCCTCAGCTTCCTTGTTTTGTGTATCTTTCTTACGTTGCGCTCCTTCGGAAATCGTATGCATCTGAGGTTGCGATTGACTATGGGACAATCCAAGTGTATGTGTGATGAGACGTACAGTGATCGGTAAGGAGCGGGTATGTAAAGGGGCGGGCAGCCCGCGCAGAGAAGGCGACGCCGGGGGGGATCTCGTTGAGAATGCGTGAGGCGTGCAACGCAAACTTTCGGTATGCTACCGGGATTTGCCGATCGGAGGCGCTCACTCGGGCGGCGCGGACGCTCACGAGCGGTAGATTTGAAGCTATCCGATCCAGCCCAAGGCACAGGTCTCAAGAGCGTCATAAGAGAAAGGCCTTGTACTGAGATCAGGATACGGAATATGGCTGGGAGGGAAAGGTGGTAGATGCTACTTCCCTGGCTGAATGGGCCATGTCTTGCTGTCGCAGGTCAGAATGCTCAAAATGTGAGTACAACGCCAACACCTATAACGATCGCGCCAGAGCTGATGTTGAGTTCGAGTGTAGAGGTTCTTTGGCATAGTAGATGCGGCGTGCTTTCCTCGGTTCTGAAACTGATCAGACTCAACAAATAGCGGCAAAAGAACTTCGATGTCGGCATCACGGCCTTGTGATGGTGCCAACGTACACTAATCGTTGTGGACCGAGTGAGTGCGAGAAGTCCACATTCACTAGTGCGTCTGACACGCTGGGAAGGCATAGAGAACGCACCCATTGAACAGAACTAGTCCAGGACCCGCACCCGTATGTGAGGTCGCCGTCAGTGCCATAATGCTAGTAATTGTCAATCGTTCCTAATCATGACATTGTACAACCTACGCTCGCTGGCCTATACTCTGCCGAGACGCTATACTACTCCGACGGCGATGTCCCGGGATGGGCGCACTGTGGGCGGAAACCATCTACGCAATAGGTTAGGCCTCAGCTGGTCAATACATTGAGCCACAACGTACCTTATTGTCAACTTCGTCTAACGCATCCATCTGCAACTGACGAAGGCGCGCTAGTCCAGCTTTCAGGCTCTGGATGCTTGCTTCATCAGCAGCTTTGGCCTCTCTCAACTCCAAGATCTCTTCCTCTGCATCCTGGACGTCGTCGCGGGCGATGGCAAGGTCCTCCTGAAGCTGAGCGGAGCGCGCAACCTCCTCCTCCAGCCTAGTCGACAGGCTGTCCTTCGCCGAGGAGACCGATCGCAACTCGCCTGAGAGGCTAGTGATTTGAGACCGAAGCCCGTCGAGTTGGATTCGGAAGTCCGCAGCTTTGACGCGTGCAGCCTCCAAAGCTTCAGCGTGAGCGGCGGCATCCCTCTCATGCTCTTTCTTCAACACCTCCACCTGGCAGCGAGTGTCATCCAAGGCACGTCGCGTCTGATTGAGTTCTTCTTCGACGGAAGTCATACGCAGAGCCTTCTCGGCCATCTCAGAGACGAGTTTGTCATGACTGGCCTTGGTTGCGGAGAGCACAGATTCGACCGTCCGACGGGAGCTCTGCTCTGCTTCTAATTGTCCACGCAAGCGAGCCGTTTCGGCCAACGAATCCTCTAGCTGGAAACGTAGACTGCCAAGACTGGACTCGAGCTCCGAAACGGTAACCTTCAATGAGGTGGCCTCTCGCGTAGAAGCAGCTGCGTCCAGCTGGGCCTGCTCCCGCGACGCGCGGAGCTCGTCGATGACGTCCTGAGATTGCTTGAGCCGTGTGGTAGTGGACGCAACATCGTCTTCAGCTCGTGTGAGATCCGTGCGCAGCTGGTCCACGGTGTCGCGCAAAGCCTCCGCAGTCCGCTCCAAGTTCTCCTTATCGGCGACGAGTGCAGACGTCTGCGCCAAGTACTGCTTGAGATACAGCTCAAGACCCCTGGCATGATCAGTCAGTGTCTGCTGTGAGACGACACCAGCCTCAATTGCTCGCAAGGCCTCAGCAAGCTCCCGTTGAGCAGAAGCCAGGAGCGTCTTCGTCTGCTGGAGCTCTGACCTAGTCTGATCGTGCGAAGATTCGAACGTCTCCATGGTCTGCTGAAGTGTCTTCAACGCAGACTGCGCAGAAGAAAGTTCCTCTTGAACTGATGAATGCCTCGTCTCGAGGGAGCGAGTTCGTTCTCGTTCAGCTTCTAGTGCTGCTTGCGAGATTTGAAGAGCAGATCGGACATCGATACCCTCCGTCCTCTCGGTCTGGAGAGTTGCCTCCAGTTTCACAAGAAGCGACTGGGTGTCCTGGAGGGTGGCAGTTCGCGATTGAAGCTGAGCGGTGAGATCCGCGAGCTGGAGTTCTCGGGAGGCAGCGGAACTGCGTAGTGAATCGCGTTCCTCGAGAAGCCGCTGGTGTTCACCGCGGACTTGCGAGAGTTGCATGACGTGTGCCTGCAGCTCTTTCTTCAACGCTGCGATCTGCGGCAACAGCGGGATAAATTCAATAATGATCAGAAACAGCGAGAATCTCAGCAGACACACCTCTTCGATATGCGCGTCTGTCTCGTGGTGCTTTGTCGCGCTTTCCATGTCATGCGCCATGAGGTTGGAGGTTGATTGGCTTGTCTCCAATCCGACTTTACGTGGTGTGAAATCGGAGACAGCATCGTCGTGTCCATGGACGCTGCTGAGCGAAGAAAAGTCATCGTCATCTTGGACATCGTCGAAGACCAATCCCTCGATCTCGGCATATTGGGAGCCAGGTTCACTCGGCTCAGGAGTCGGCCGCCGGGTGAGGTTGGAAATCAAGGAGCCTGATAGCGTACGAGTGACGCCATGCATGGGGGCGCCGACACGATAAGTGGTAGCTGGGCGACCAGAACCCGCTGAAGACGGTGCTAGTCGTTCAGTGCTGTGGTCGTTGCAGTGAGTTAAGACTCCGTAACGATAGGCAACGAGTACGAACGGTGGTGGAGTGACTAGACGCATTGACGTGCCGATTGTGACTCTTCTTGCATCGTGCTCACTCTGCGTCTTGAGACGCGCGACTTCATCACGCAGTTCATCGACTTCTTGCTCTCGCAGTTTCAGCTCTTCGCGGAGAGCGACAACGTCTTCCTGCTCTGCAGAGTCAGCTTCTTCGCTTTCCTCAAGCTGCTGAAGTGCTGCTCGGAGTTCGGCCTCAAGCTATGAATACATCAATACTCCATCGCCTTGCATCATGCAAGAAGGGGTATCTCACCTCAGCCTTTGTGAAACTCGACAAAGACTTGCGGGCGCGTCTCTTCCGTGGCCTCCCTTCCCCGCCATCCTCATCTGCGTGACCAGCAGCGCCCGACATTCGCCTCGGACGCTTGACACCAACGGTAGAGAATCTTCGGGTAACGTCCTTCCAGATCTTCTGCTCAAGATTGGCCGAAGGAACGACGCCCGGCCCGAGAGAATCGCGACGGATAGCGGTGATGCTGAGGATATATGAGCCGGATATCACTGAAGACAAAAAGTGATACATACGTCTTCTTGGCATCTGGAGTGAAGGCGACGTTCCCCTGAGCGTCGTGTGTGTCCAGGATACCATCGTCTGCCTGGATCATCATAGCTCATAAGCAACGACTGGCAATGTCACAGAGTACCTATGACATACCAGTTTGTGAACGGCCCGAGTGACCCATTGGGACCACTGGGGTCCCATCTTATCCTTTCGGGCATCTGCCATCTTTCGCACTACGGTAAAGCGCCAGTTGAGCGGGCTGTAACCACCAAATATTCGATGATGACGCGCAAGACATACCATGCGCTCTTAGGGTAGCCATATGGACCGCATGTTTGCGGTGTTCCCTCTGAATCTCGGAAAGTGCGCCAAGGACGCCTGGATCGAAGGTGCTCGGTCAGGACATCCGACTACGACGTACTCGGAGGCAAGCTGCTTACGCTCGGCATACGTGAACTTGGCCTTCTTCTGCGATGATCTTCTGGCCATGGATAATGCAGGTATCGCTAGACTATAGAAAGTGAGAGTAGGTAGATGGTGAGGGTTGGAGAGGAGAGATAGTGGAGAATGCGCAAGACACGAGGCGGATGTGCTGCACTGGTGGCACGGTACCGAGGGACACCATTTAGCGCTCACTGCACTCCCTTGAGCGTCTGTGACGTCACTGTCACTAATTGCCTCTTTGGATCGTGACTCTTTGTGACTCCCTTCGCTCGTTTGGTCCTTTCACGACGGGCATTGGCCAATGTCCCGGACCCAAACTGGGACAGAGAAATGGCCTGGGAATGGATGCCTGTCACAGGTCATGTCCCAATGCCTAGCTCCGGACCCGAGCCAGCGGGCGCTCTGATACCATAAAGAGGATATTGGCGCTCGAGACTGTCCAACAAGGGGTATATACGCTTATGTCATTGGCTTTGTCAGCCTTAGTATTTCCCTTTAGGGATTTTAGCGC